CTTCCCTGCACAGAGGCAGGAGGCCAGCTTCAATGGCCTTTCAAACCACAGATCCAAGGTAGAGCAGCCCCAGGACGTGGTGACGGGCAACCCCACAGTGGTGAGGCTGGTGGTGAGATTCTACCGTAATGAGCGGGGACAGAGCGCTCTGCGGGAGATCCTGGGCAAGGTTATCCAGGATGTGCTGGAGGACAAGGTGCTCAGCGTCCACACAGACCCCGTCCACCTCTACAAGAGCTGGGTCAACCAGACAGAGGCCCAGACAGGGCAGCGCAGGTGAGCGGATGACGGGGGGAGGGAGAGGGCTCTGGTCGGCTTCACAGGGCCAACGCGGGGAGCCTGGGTGTGCTTCGAAGGTGGCATGTCAGTGAGCACGCTGACTTATGCAAGGACAGCAGGGCCCTATAGCAGGAAATCAGGAGGCCTTCAGACTCCCTGTGGTGATTAACACGGGAACCGACGTAAACGACTCCAGACCTGGTGGGCTTAATGTGGGAGGGGGTGGTGAATGTGCAAATGTGCCGAAGTGCTGGGTCACCGCTTGCAGATGATACATCAGAGTTGCTAGGAGTTAGCACCCCTCAGTGATAGGGGTGTAGAGGAACATTAAGATTTACAGAGGGGGGTCAGCAGGTGGTATGGTGGTTAAAGGTGCTGGATTTCCACATGGATGACCATGGTTCGAGTCCTGGACCTTTTTTTTCCAAAAAAAAAAAAAAAAAAAAATTTAAAAAGGGAGCCGATGAAGGGCATTGCCTTTTATCAAGCGACGTCCCCATTTGAGTCCTGGACCTGGTGACTTGCTTTCTCACTTTCTCTCTTTCTCACTCTGTCCCTCCCTGATCAAATTAAAATTAATTAATTAATTACATTCAATAAAATAATTATTTAATTTTAAAAAATTTTTGCAGAGGAATGGAGCCAGCACGTGGCTTGGTGAAGGGTGCTGAACTCCCACATGAGACCGTGGGGAAAATCAGCCGGCCTTATACTGAGGGCCCTGTCAGATTCACAATTCGTAGGTACCAGGGAGCTCTCCCTGGGGAGAGCAGGTGACCCTGGCTGGCTGTGCTGGATGGCTTGGGAGGCTTCAGGCCCCGGAACTCCCAGGCCCTGGCTCAGACTTCCCTGTTGTTCCAGCCGCCGAGGACTCTGTGAGGGGCAGCTGCCCAGATCCTCTGGCCCCCCGCGGGTCTTACTGCAGAGTCCATCCCCCGTCCTGAGCTCCCGTGGGAGCACCTCTGTCCTTTCACCTTCCTCCTATATCCCCCAGTCCTTCCCCTTACTCGGGCCTCTCCTTCAGCACACGGGGCTGCCTTAGCGTGTCGATGTGAGTGCCTGTGTTAGATGAAGCGTGTAAGAGGTGGGAGCTCGGGAAGGGAGATCAGGGGAGGGACTTCGGCTTACACCTCATCTCTCTGCCCACAGCCATCTCCCCTATGACGTCACCCCGGAGCAGGCCTTGAGCCACCCCGAGGTCCAGAGGCGACTGGACATCTCTCTGCGCAGCCTCCTCGCCATGACGGACAAGTTCCTCGTAGCCATCACCTCCTCTGTGGACCAGATCCCGTACGTGCCACATCACGGCCCGGCCTAGGCGTGGGACCTCACGGGGCGGCCATGGGGGGGAGGGGACAGAGCAGAACAACTGTCCTGCAGGACAGGGAGCAGAAAGGAAATGGAGCGGGGGCTCTAGGAGACGTGTGGAGGTGCTCAAGGCCTTGCTGGAGTTGGGCTGGGACACAAAATGCAGGTGTCACTGGGGCCGGAGGAGAGAAATGAAGATGATTAAAGGGACCTACTGTTTTCTGTGAGGAAATGGGGCGAAGGTGGAGCACTTCAGTTCATAAAGTGAAAAATTAAAAATATGAGGGATGGGCTAGCCAGGAACAGGGACGTTAAGGTGCTGGACTCCCACATGGCCGACTGCACAGTTCCGGTCCTCAATCCGGAGGCTGGAAAATCATGCTGGACGCGTGTGTGTGCATGCCCCAAATCCCGAGGAGACGGGAGGAAAAGGGATTGCAGTGTCCCCCCCACACCGCCCCTGCCCTGGCTCTGTGGCAAGCACATGGAGCCCTATAGCAAAAACAAAGACGAAGACAAAAAAAGAAGAGGACTTCAAGAAGTCTGTGAAGGGAACCAGCAGTTAGTGTAATGGCTATGTCGCTGGACTCCCACGTAGTCGACTGCGGTTCGTGTCCCGGACCCGGTGGCTTAAAACTCACGCCAGGCGCGTGTGCGTGCATGCCCAAGATCCCGAGAGGAGAATGGAGGAGAAGGGATTGCGGCGTGACCATCCCCCCGGGGGGGTGATTTCTCGCTTTCTGTCTCTATGTCTCTCTCTGTCTGTCTGGCGAGCGCACACGCCCTACAGTGAAAATCTCTCCCAAAAAAAAGAAGTCTGTGAAAAACAATTAAAATACAAGTATAGTGACCAGCAGTTAGCGTAATGGCTATATCTCTGGAGTCCCATGTAGTCGACTGCGGTTCGAGTCCTGGACTCGGTGACTTAAACTCACGCCAGGCGTGTGTGCGTACATGCCCAGGATCCTGAGAGGAGAATAGAGAAGGGGTTGAGGCATGGCCATCCCCCCGGGGGGGTGATTTCTCGTTTTCTGTCTCTCTTCCCTCTCTGTCTTTCTGGTGAGTGCATGTGCCCTATAGCAAAAAGAGGGGGAAAGTGAAAAAGCAAGCCGCCACAAAAAAAGCAAAGTGAAAAAGCAAGTCCAGGACTCAAACTGCGGTCAGCCTTGTGGGAGTCCAGTGCCCTTAACCACCACACCGCCTGCTGGCCCCTGGAAATAACTTTTAAATGAATGTACTTGAATCTACTGGTGGCACATCCAAAACAGGAGTAATAACCATAGTCCAGCACGTGTGAGTAGCACCACTCTACAGTAATACATTTCTTTCGCAGACAGAATTTCTTTCTTTCCTTTTTTTTAGAGAGATTTTTGCTATAGGGTGCATGTACTTGCTGGAGAGATAGAGAGAAAGAAAGTGAGAAATCGTCCCCCAGCAGGGATGAGCACACTGCAATCCCTTCTATTCGCCTCTTGGGATTTTGAGCACACACGCACATGTGCCTGGCATGAATTTCAAGCCTCTGAGTCTGGGACTTGAACTGCAGTTGGCCAAGTGGGAGTCCAGCATCTTAACCACCATGCCACCTGCTGGCCCCCAGAATTTCATCTGATTCTCACAAAAACCCTATGACATAGAGAAGGGGAGAATGGTCATTCTCACTTGCCAGACCAGGGAACAGGCTCCCTGTTGCCGGAGACGCTGTCTCTGATTGTTGGGGTCAGGGGCAGAGCTTCTGCTCCCAGCACAGTGGTCTCGGGCCTGCCTGCAGCCCAGCCTGGGCCCCTCACAGGTGCTCTGTGGGCTGACGAGGTTGGCTGCCTCGGGACCTTCCTAGGCTGTCGTAGGGCAGGGTTTGGCTGCAATGCTGAGGTACAGGCTAACAGTGCCCAGTGGCAGGAGGCAGGACAGAGAGAGCATGGGGTGCTCTGCACTGGAGACCGAGAGTCTCAAGGAAGAGGCTCTCAGTCCGTGTTGGAGCTGCATTGAGCTCAGCAGCTGAGAGGGCTCTGGTCCCAGGGACTGACCCAGGGCAGCAGGGAGCTGGCTGGGGACAGGCAGGCTGAGCCTGGGCAGGAGGGACAGCCACATGTGCCTAGGGCTCTGGCACAGGGCGAGCCACAGCACACCTGTTGCCTGGCCCAGGTACGGGATGCGGTACGTGGCCAAGGTCCTGAAGACGGCTCTCACAGAGAAGTTCCCCGACGCCAAGGAGAGCGAGGTCTACAAGGCAAGTGCTGTCTCTCCTCCCCCGTCTCCCGGCCCTCCTCGCCTCCGGAGTCTGCCAGACAAGGGACAAGGCCCATGCTGAAAAGGCCCAGGGAGGGAGTCCCACTCCCCCGTCGGTGCGCTGAGCAGGCTCCAGGAGGCAGGCGGAGAGGCAGCCAGGGTCGTGCTGACCGAGAGGACAGCCCTGGGCTTCTTGGCAAGAGATCTGGGTTCTAGTCCCAGCTCTGGCTCAAGTTTGCTGCGTGACCTTGAGCCAGTGGCCTGCCTGCTCGGGGCCTATTTTCCGTAAAGTGAAAGACTTGGCCCACACGGTCCTTTCCAGCCAAAGGAGCTGGCCATGCAGGGCTGGGGCCAGCATGGCGGCTCCGGGCACTTCAGGAGTGCCGCCTCCACCCCCAGGTGGTGGGGAACCTCCTGTACTACCGCTTTCTGAACCCAGCCGTGGTGGCCCCCGACGCCTTCGACATCGTGGCCATGGCAGCAGGCGGTGCCCTGGCCGCCCCCCAGCGCCACACCCTGGGGGCTGTGGCTCAGCTCCTGCAGCATGCCGCGGCCGGCAAGGCCTTCTCTGGGGAGAGCCAGCACCTGCGGGTCCTGAACGACTACCTGGAGGAGACGCACCTCAAGTTCAGGTTTGTGGCCCGACACCCCCACTCCTCCCTGACCCTTCTCTCATCTTTCAAGCCCCGCTTCTCCCCCTGGAGCTCAGGAGGAAGGCCTGGAGGGAAGGGGGTCTTGAGCAGGAGGAGGCAAGGCTATGAGAAGGACTTCCCACAGACAGAGTGAGGCCATTGAGGAGGCTGGCCTCGGGGTCAGCAGGTGGCATGGTGGTTAAGGCACTGGACTCCCACAGGGCCAACTGCAGTTCAGGTCCTGGATCTGGTGGCTTGACACTCAAGCCAGGCACATGTGTGCGCATGTCTAGACTCCCAGGAGGAAAATGGCGGAGGAGGGATGGCGGCATGGCCATCCCCTCTTGGGGTGAGGTCTTGCTTTCTCTCTCTCTGGCAAGTCCACACACCCTATAGCAACAAACAAACAAACAAAAAAACTGGAAAAAAAATAGGCTGGCCTCAGGGGACACAGGACTGTGGTCAGGCAGGTCGGAGGATGGGAGCAGGCAGCAGGGCCCAAGGTGGCTGCTGCGGTGGCTGCAGGGCCAGGGAGGGGGTGGCAGGGACAGAGCGTGTGGGGTGCTAGCCTCCACTTTCTCACGCCCTCCCTCCGGAGACAGGAAGTTCATCTGCAGGGCCTGCCAGGTGCCAGAGCCCGAGGAGCGTTTCGCCATGAACGAGTATTCAGACATGGTGGCTGTGGCCAAGCCCGTGGTGTACATCACTGTGGGGGAGCTGGTCAACACGCACCAGGTGAGCGACCGCAGCAGGCGGGGCCAGCCAGGCAGGGTGGGCCCGCGATGGTGGGGCCAGGCAGGCCTGGCTCAGCCTCGACCTCCCGCCCTCCGCCCTGCAGCTACTGCTGGAGCACCAGGACTGGATTGCTCCTGACCACCGCGACCCCCTGCATGAGCTCCTGGAGGACCTCGGGGAGCTGCCCGCCGTGGCTGACCTCGTCGGTGCGTGCCCTCCTTGGCACTGGGGGCCCTGCAGGGAGGGACGGAGAGGCAGGCGGGCAGGCCGTGGGAGCATGGACACGGACTGGCCTTGGAGTGAACAGACGAGAGGGACCCAGGGCCATCACGCACATGGCCAATCCATCACGCTGGGCTGTGATGGTGAAGGCAGCTGGATCCCACGTGGCAACTGTCTAGGTCGATTCCCAGACCCGGCAGCTCGAAAACACACTGTGTGTGTGTGTGTGTGTGTGTGTGTGTGTGTGC